TCAGGCGAATAAACATATTGTCCCAGCGATCGAGTCTTCTTCTTCTCAGCTACACAAGTTCGCTATAAACTACTTCACGGGCAGATTACTTCTTGTAATGGGTTCCCAGGCTAGATTTTTGCCGCCAGTCTCTTTGTGTCATTTCAGCAAAGAGAACATCGAACAAGGTCGTAAGGGAAATGAAGTCGTTTATTGCCCCTTGAACGTTGGCTATATGCAATAAGCGAAGTTATAGATGGGCCAATCAGGTTGTGTCTTCATGTGCCTAAAGGCCTGATTGGCCATCACGCGCGCGCCCGTCGGCGCACGACTTCATCCTAGCCGGCTGGTGTCACCTCTAGGCGCGCGCACATCGCGCACGTTGGTTGTCTGTAGGCGGGCCGATAACGTATCCTGAGTGTTTACTCGGACCACTTGTTAGGAATAATCCCAACATTACTGATGTTACGACTACTCCGTAGGGGCACAAGGTGGACTTCGTAATTTGCAATAGTTGAACTGTCGCCATGCTGTGGGTTTAGCAGTTTATGATAGCGCCTAGGATAAACGCTTCGACAGGGTAAGTTAACGTCTGGGTTCATGTTATGATTGGTCGTCGTCGATCGATGCCGATTCTACAAGATTGATAGCATTTCTTTTGAGCATCTGATATTTATTGTTTCCCGAAGAACTTACATTATACAAGTTCAAAGGTTGGCATCAGACAATTTGAGAAGTAGCCACGATGGCCGGAGTAAGAAATTTATCCGCCTGACGTTTTGGCTTCATGCTTGAATCCATTATCAGATACGTGTAATTCATACACAGGCAGTTGCGGTATTTATGGCATGCAGTCGGTATGCTACCACACACTTATGACACATAACGGCCCTCTGGTGCAATAGTTGCTTGATTGCCCTGTTCGATGTCGGCTGGATTATTGTTTGGCCATCGGCACTGGCGTTAGAAAATGCGTTCGCCTGCGTGCCTCCCGAATGGCTCCAAACTAAGTATCAGCACCAAGTATGGGGCAAGGAGACAGTTGTACTTGTTATTGGACTGAGGGCAGATGAACCATGCACCAAGCAGCTCGCGACACAAGCTATTGACGCTTCCCGCGAGAATTTTGACCTCGTCGAACTTGAATGTTTGGCCGGGCTTCGTTGAAAAAGTTGTAACTTGAGAGTTTGCATCATTCATCCGCAATGGTGATGTGTCTTCAATCATCCGCGTCCTGAAAAGTCTTCCTATTTCTCCGAAGTCCTTGCTTTGTCCCAGATCTAGTTTATGATTTCGGACGTTTCTTGCCGTGGCAGTGGGTCTTTTGGTCGCAATATCCGACGTCTAATGGTTGCCTCCGGTCTATCGACGACTGTCACAACGAGAGGTGCGAGAAGGCGGCCGACAGCCATTGTGACATTCATGACGTACAAAAGCGCCCACTAAAATTCGGACTTAGTGTGATTTTGTCATTCGTCTGGCTTGCGTAGTTGTGCAGATAGCCATTTTTCTTCTGAGCACACTTTCTGTACAAATCCCACCGACGCTGTCAAGGATTTCAAAATTAATAAAACAAATTCACTGTTTTCCTTTTTTCTTCTCATTCTCACTTGCATAGCCTCTTCAAAATCTGACCGAAGATGAAGAAATCAGAGTATCCAACATTCTGAGCACGCTTCGAGAGAAAGTTAGAACGCAACGCATTCAGACTTACCCAATGTTCCGAGACTATGACACGGTAAGAATGTGCGTATTGCTTTTGTGTTAAAGGAAAAGCCGACAAAGTGCTTTCAACAGGGACTTCCTCGGAAAGTACTTTGTTGTAATAACTCTTCAATGTTTTTTGACTTTATTTTGCAAGAACTCACTCATAGAAGCCGAAAATATATCGTTCTAAAAGCCCGCAAGCCATAATAGTATCTCCCTTTTTCAGTCAGTTAGACCGCGAAATTTTACTTTAAAAACCACCTATCGAGATGATCACTCAATCAACAGATTGGTGACAACGTCGAGGTGTGGTCAGGTTATTGACTGCCTCATGACGATTTTAGTCTTTAATGCTCTAATTTCGGGGTAAGTTCCAGAATCCAGTATTTAATTCGACTTGGCATTTGACTATGTTGTTCTACAAGAGTAGACAAGTTTGTTGATCGCACATATTTCTACGCCATTCTCCGGAGACTCTCCGACATTCTAAAACGTCAACAAACACAAGAACCTAAGAGGACCGAATATAAAGGTTATTTAGCGGTTGGTGCAGTGATTCAGTGATTTGATTTTGCGAGAGGCGTGTCAAATAGCAGACTGGGTCATCTCAACATTGCGCTTGAAAGTTTAGATCTTTGGTGATCGATAGTAAAATATTGGCCTGCTACTCCATTATTTGCTGTTCTTTTGTCGTCTTGGAAACCAGATCATCAACCAACAAAATATATTTGCATAAATAACAAGTGCTTTTTATCGGATTCCGCGGTTTAGGGTAAAGAAGCACTTAAAAGTCGTAAACAGAAGGTGAACATGTGGCCTCTGAGTTCATCTTTGTGAAACATGTAGTCCAGAAAGGTGTAGAAGGTGTTAGACGTAACAAATGGAAACTTCACAATGACACAGCACATTTGCAGTGTCTATTAGCAGTCGTACAGGAAATGTTTGTCGACAAAAATACGTTTATGTTGACTGTCTCTTAAAGTACCGCCGATTCCAGTGAGTTTCTAGTGAATTGTCTCTCAGAGTTTTTTTTACTAATCGCACGTAAGCTGCGCGTCACGTACAAAAAACCCTATGAAGATTGCACGATCTCTGGTCTTCTTCGGTTCGGATAATTCGGTGTCTATGTGAAATGTGTTATATTAGTTTTGCCTTCAGTATGCATCGAGAAAGCATTCTATCCTTGGCATTGCCATATTTTATGTTTCGTTGGTACAGATAAAACCTGACCGTCCCTTTCAGATGACGGATTTCATTCAAATTTGTAGTAGAACTTAACTAGAATCCTACGAAGAGTCTGATTACAATGTTTTACATTGAAAGCAATAACATGTCCTGCCTCCGGGTCCACGGAATAAAAGGAAGCAGCTCCCTCCCTCCTTCCCTCAATCCATCCATCCACCCACCCAACTGAATGCTTTGCATAATAAGTACTTCTTTGTTATGTCTGTTTTCAGAGCACTGCGCTCACGCGAACAATGACTCCAATGCAGCTGGGTCGAGCTCTACATTTTCTCGGGTTGGACGTCGGATCCGAGGACTGCCGTCTGTTGGCCAAGAAGTTTGCCGATCCGGTCACAAAGTATGTTAATTATGCAGCCCTCTGTGAATCCATCGACCCCATGTTCCAGGCTTCGGCCCCCGTCAAAGACTTGACTCAACAAAGTGGAGAGGAGGATGCCGGACCGCCGCCAAAGATTGGGGATTTTGTGAAACCAGCACAACGCTGCGACTGGGATGCCATATCTACGCCAATTGCGAAGTCGAGTGGAGACTCGGCTGCTCTGGAAACCCTGATGGCCCGCATACGTCATTTGGTCTTAGTGAATCGAATTCGACTAAAGGGCTTCTTCGAAGACTTTGACCCCCTGCGGAGTGGACGCATTACGAAGAACCAATTTATGAGAGCCCTCAGCAACGCTAACATAAACAGAATAGGCCTGCATGATCTTACACCTGCCCAGTGCAATAAATTGGTTGAAAATTACATATCATCGGAGGATCCAAGAATGGTGCGGTGGACCGACTTTGTGAACGACGTGGAAACAGGTTAGTTTGCAGTTCAGTTCAGGTCAATTTTATTGGGGGAAAGTTAGGCAAACGCCATTGAGTTCCTATTGGTGACATAGTGACTGAAAAATGCATCAGTACAGTAGAAAACTTCAGTGGTCGTTCACATGATTGTAGACAAAAAGTGAGTAGTCTCCAGTTAACTGATAACAGTAAACATACACGACTACTCACTCCTAACTAGTAGTATGATTACATACGTATGGTATTTCGGCTCGTAGGCGATGTCAATGGCACGAGCCTTTAAGTGTGACAATATCACAAAAATGAGCAGACAATCAACAAGCCCTTCGCATGTGCCTCGTTGTTTTGCAATGGATAACACCAAGTGCATTTCAGTGTGCTTAGTGCTCTGGGAGATCTGTCATAACTATACTACTAAAAATAGAACAGTACTCAGCCGTAGCACTGAACATGTGATGCATCGGTTAAGAAGCTGGATTTGTTTCAGGGTATCAGTGTCATCATCAGCCTCAAAAACAGCCAATTGTTAAAACATGAAGACTAGGTGAGGTGAACCGAGGGAAAATTGGTGACCCTTAAAATATATTCAACTTGCTTCCTAAGTTTTGGACAGCCGTATATCCTGTCGAGTATCAAGCCCGAAAAATATATTAAGTACGTTAATAATACTTGTGATTACAGCTGAAATTAATGTGCATTCCTAATACAAGTGAACATGCGAGTCCCAGGAAGTAACTGAGAAGAAGATAATGTGATTGCTGGGACAAAACTTTTATTCGTCTGACATATGGAGGTCTGTCGCGGATTCTTCACCAGAGACATTAGCATAAACAGTAGCAGAAACGGGTAATTCATGCAGAGGGAGTTGCAATATTTATAGGATACAGTCACATATAATATTGCACATCTGCGACAATTAACGACTCCCCATCGAGAATAATTTCCCGCTTGTGCGCTAATTGCTTGATGACCGGCGCGCGGGCCGTGACCTACTGAACTTTTCTCACACGTAGTAGAATCGGACGGGATGATTGCTTGGCCATATGGTTCCCCAGCGTTGGCGTTGGATGACGTGTTGGTGAATGCGTTCCCCAAGGAGTGACCTGCTTTGGCCAAATGGAGCCTCAGCACCGAATATGGGTTTGGCAGGTCATTGCGCTTGTTGATAGCCTGAGAGCTCGTGGACGATGACTCAAGTAATTGGCGGCCCACACGACTGTCACCTTTCGCGAGAAAGGTTATTGTACACGAATATTCAGCTTCAGTGTGGACTAAGTGTACACTTTTGCGTTGCCCAACCAACCAACAATGTTCGCACAGTCAAATCTAGTAGCAGTATGTCTAATGACACATTACACGAAAGTTCAAGCGTCGATTTCGATGATGCCTACCGTGGGCTTCACGGCAAGCTGGAAGCAAATGCGGTGACTTGTGCATTGAGTAGATTATAGTGATATTAGACGTTCACCTTTAGTTACGTGTATCATCACGCTCCCTGGTCACAGCCTGGACTTAAATAGGATTTTGTGCAACAACAAGAGGACAGGGGCAACGGCACGGATCACAGCTCACACATCGTGGGCCCGCGTGCCACTACAGTACGGCCGATATTTCGTGCAAAATGCCGAAATTTGGCAAGGATTGATAATCAATCATAAAACGGCATTAAGTAGGGTTGTAATACAGATAATCGTGCAGCCTAATCTGAAGTCATTTCAGTCACGTCATGATGCCAGCTTTTTAATGGGCTTCTAATTGACCGCTTACAAGCCCACCAGACGCAGCAACTACAATACTCTGACGATGGAAGCGAGAAGGGTTCCGAAACGTCGGTTCAAATACAACAAAATATAACAAAAAGCGTACAAGAAAAAGAATAATTTGGGAATGTTTTCTCTAAAAAAGGCAGTTGAATTTTTAAGGGCAGTCAAAATAAATGCGTTAAATGCATACTACTTAAGCAGCCATTTATTTTACAAACAAACTCCTTGTAACCGGTCAGAAAAAAACACCTTAAAAAGCTGGCATACTGTCGTGACTGAAAAGACCTTAGGTTAGGCCGCACGGTAATCAACCTTACAACCCTACTTAATGCCGGTTTGCAAATGATGGCGAGTGATTATCAATCTTTCGCAAATTTCGGCATTGTGCATGAAATTGCAACCGTACTGTTCTCCCCATAACACACCAGTCAATCATGGCCTACACATAACTAGGATTTTGCTCGACAAATAGGGGGGTCATTTGCTCGTATTCCCGCTCTCCCATTGTGAACCTACTTGCCGCCAAACTCTACAACCCAGTACCTAGTAATAAAGCCATGCCCATACGCTCTGACAGACTCGCAGCCACCACCCCTGTTGTCAGTCCAGTAGACTACCATCGATGATTTTCTTTATGCAGTAACAGTTCTTAAAAACATGCATTAGCGAATTAGAGGTTTGAGTCTTAGGCAACCACCACACTCGGGTATGACTGGCTGATGACGGCTTATGAGATAGAAATGGCCGATCCAGTCTTCATTGTCTCTGTCGACAATGTTATCTACATAGACTACCAGCCACTGCGCGGCCACTGTCAGAGCGGGATAAGTGAGTTCCATTAGCAGTCGGTGAACATTTGTCAACGGTTTTCGGTACCTATGGTCTCCTTCCGATTGCTTACAGAGATTGGAGTAAGTAGTTGCTTCAATAATTCTAGATGACTAGCAATCAAACCAGGTGCCCCTGGAAGGCTTTGAACAAATGAAAGCTGTTTCCTCTATATCAAATGTATAGTCAGTCTAGCGATGTACTTTAGGCGTTTAGAATAGCTTTTGATACATTGCCTTCAATACTTCGGCTTCCCAATATCTGGAAGAAGGAACCTGCTCTCATTGTGAATTTTTTTGAACTTTAAAATTGAACGTTCTCGTTTCGCCTAGAAACAGAGCTGGAAACATCTTGGAGAAAATTTAGAATTCTGGAAGGACATCAAGAAAACGATTATCCTAGAAGCAATCCGGAATGATTCGTCCATGCGGAAATTTATTATTTCCAGTTTGATAGACGTCCTAGCAATCGTTGTGTTGATTAAAGGTCGCATGAAATCCTCCCAGTTTACCAAATTTAATGTTCGTGTGCTGTTATATACGACACTGTTATCGTTAAATAATGTCACCTGTTTTTAAGTCATTTGCCCAGAATACATTTTCTAAGCGTCACTCAAAAAATTGCTGATCCAGTTTGAAAGTCACATTATTGAAGTTCATGCTTTGTGGCGTTTATTAAAGATATTTATTTAGAGGGATTGATTAACTATCGCATTAAAAATCTGTTGAAATTTTCTGATCTAGTACAAATTTATTCTTATTACTACCTTTCTCATATCAGTAATTTATATGATGTAAGTGTCAAGTTTTCTTGTTGCAAATGTCAAAAATGACGGAAGTAAATGAATATATATAGGTGCTTTTGGTAAGAAAAGGGCACAGTCATCTTAACTTGAGTGGGAAAACGACTGGCAATAGACCAATGAAAGACTAAGAATAACGACGATGTTGCTTCTCACCTACTGCTACCATATTTTTAATTAATTAATTAAATTTACGTTCAAATTTTCTAGACGAATTAAATTTGGCCAACATGCGCTGTTAGCTGGTATATCTCAATAGCCGGATTCATTCACAATAAATGATGCATTAAATTCAAACATATCGGATAATGACTTTAGCCAGTCATTGTTAAATTTGAAGATCCCTCTTCAAATCGGAGGGGCACACATTTCGGAGCCCTCGTTATACTCTCAGGCAAGTGCGCTCAAGGGTTTTAAGGGTGAAGTTTCGGGTAACACGGTTACAGACAAACATCCAGTTTGAAAGCCACGTTATTTGAGTTCATGCCTTGAGGGGTTTACCAAAGGTTTTTATTTAGAAAGATTAAGTAACTATCGCGTTTAAAACCTGTTGGAATTTTGTGATCTAGTACAAATTACGTTTTATTACTACCTTTTTCATATCAATAATTTACGCGATGTAAGTGTCAAGTTTCCTTGTTGTAAATGTCAAAATGGCGGAAGTAAATGAATTTATAGGTGCCTATTCAAAAAAGGGCACAATCATCTTTACTTGAATGGGAAAACGACTGGTCATAGACCAGTGAACTAAGAAGCATAACGTCGATGTTGTGTATTGCCTACTGCTACTATATGTACTTACTTTAGTTTAATTTACGTTCAAATTTTCTAGACGAATTAAATTTGGCGAATATGCACGCTAGTATATCACAATAGTCTGATTCGTACATAATAAATGATGCACTGAATTCAGACATATCGGGTAATGACTTCAGCCAGTCATCGATAAATTTGAAAGCCACTCATAACATTTCAAAGTCCTCGTTATACTCCCACGCAAGTGCGCTCAGGTGTTTAAAGGGTGACATTTCTGGTAACCCTCTCACAGACAAACATCCATGCTTGGATAAAAAGTGATAGTTGAGACAGCACGGGGGGGATTATGAAACTCGGTGCAATTCACTTCTTTAATACCAGTTCGAACGTCGATTTCGACAATGTCCACCAAAAGTTCCAGCAAGTTAAAGGCAAGCACAGCAACTTGCGCTGAATTACACTGGGCGTAGACTCGCACAAAATCTACCTCACTCCCCCATTTGTACCTGGCAATGTTATCTGCCTGGACTACTAGCCGCTGCGCGGTCGATGGACGGACTTGAAAACAAGCCTCGAGGCAGAATGGAACGAGTGAGTTCCGTTAACGATCGGTGAACGTTCGTCAACGAAAGCCTATTGTAGAGGATTATGCTAATAAGATCAAACCCCAGCAGTTGCCATCTTCAGGTCTAGTGTCTTCTGAAAAGAGAAGAAGAAGGGAGGTGTCAAATAGAAGTTATCGTTTAATCTGTACAGGAGTGGAGATTACGTTGGAGGTCGTTGACTGTCGAGCCAGTGCGCTGCCGGCCGCGAAAGGGAGCTAGTTCGAAGTGCCCTCACGGCAATCGGAACAGCGTCTAGAGTGGTCTGCGTGTGAGTCGGCCTTGAAAGATGATTGACCAGACAGCGTAGACAGGCAGAGGTGTGTGCGCACGTTAGCAGCAGTGAGCGTTCACGAGTGAGCGCCCACGCAGAGTGAGTCACTAAATGCTAAGTGTGTGTTTTACTGCGCACTCAGCTTTAAGGAGTTAAACAATCTACTGTACATTTCACCTCTGCCCTAATCGCTTTTTTGTTAGTTTGCATTGCTACGTCAACAACCGGTAATACCGAAAAACTCAAATTAATTCCGAGCGAGCAGACCTTTTCTCTGTCTGTCTAGCACTTAAGCCAGCCTGTCAGCGTTTTTTCTTGACTTTTAATAGCGGGCAATCACCAGCCCAAGAAAACAGCGCAGTTACTCCATGACTCGAAACTACTTTTCCGTAGTACTTACGAGCCCATTCGTTTTTAATCCGATTAATCGATGGCCTGATTTAGAGGAGTAAATTGTGTTTTGTTCAAGTATTTTCGTACGTCAAAAGTTTTAGAAAAAAGATACTAGACCCGTTTCTAATCTCCATATATTATATTGAATACCACTGCGTACGCGTTCATATTAAGTAAAATGGCGAATTTGATAAGACTCCTGATGTTTGATTCTAGTTAAGTAAACACTCTGATGTAGACATTAAACGGAAAATCAACCAAAAGAACGGACAGTCATGTGCGCATTAGGCTGGACCTATTTATGCAATTTTTTCAGACAGAATTTCACGAAACAACTTAGATAGGAGTAGCGAAGTGTGAGGGTTTTTTAAGGGGATTTAACCGGTTTGCTTGGTAATTATAATATTCCGAAAGGAATATTTTAAATTATTCCTGAAAGCTCTGACTGCTAAGTTGTCTCTCGAATTACTTGCCATAGTCGATGAACGACCTTAGGTTCGTGCATTCAATGTATGTAATATTACTAAATGAATATTTGGAATCAACTTTTAGAGATTTAACTTCGCGCACATTATGATTATTTTGTTAAGAATAAATATTCACTGAAATTGTCAAAGTAATAAATATAATCTTATGAAATTAATTTTGGTTAGCGCAGTTCCAACTCACCTTCACGTGGATTAGAAGACAGCAGTGCCAAATAACGTAGCGTAATTTTCCTGTGCATAAGCTATGCAAAATAAACCGATGATATTTTTAACAAATGTTTCTTTGTCTGCACGTGAGTAGTGAATACGCGAAGACCGAATCCCAACTGTACTTTTCGAAGAATAACTTTCTAAACAAACCGTTAGTTGAACTACGCAGAAGCGCGCGCTGTCTCATGCAAGTAATTCCAAAGGGAATCACAAACATATTCAGCACGAAAGGAAAAAAACTTCAGTCGGTCTTCTCATGCCTCATCTTGTCCTTTAGCTCATTCAAGATAGCGATGGGTGAATTGTTCTGATTATTATTATTATTACTTCGACTAGCAAGAATATTTTTTGGAAACTAAAGAGTACTGCGAAGCACGTGCCCGCTGTAGACTAGAAATGAAAAGGTCAGCTTCTGTAACATTCGTACGAGTATTTTGGCTTCCGGAAAATAGAGTCGGAATACATGAAGATGGACGTCTTAATAATTAGGGGAGGGGCAGGGGTTGGGGGATGGCGAGCGAAATATTGTATACCTAAAGACACTCTCCAATCTGTGGTTATGATGGGCTCTAAGATGTGCAGAAAGAGAAGTTTGAAGATACAAAAAGTATGTTGAGTGCCCGATCGGGTAGTGTCTACTGTTTAGCTAACCTGACAATATTTGACAATATTGAATTGGCCGACTTTCGAATGCGGAACAAAAGTTGATAAGGATGAATGGGACCCGGAAATAGGAACGCCTTGCGTACTTAAATGAGGTGACCTTGCGATAAGTTTTAGGAAGGATAAATAGTTCCCTAAAAATAACCGTAATATAAAACTGTAAAACCCTAAAACTGTTAACTTAATCTTCACCCTATCTCTCCCTGAATCTTAAACTCCATGGTCAACACAAACCCAAACCATAACCCTTAATACAATTCTGACCCTAATCCCAGTTCTGAGTTAAATGTCAACCTTAAACCTAACCCTAAACTTAACTCTAACCCTCAAGTTAATGGTAACTCTAATTTCTCGGTATTTAGCGCAAAGCCACGTGTTCGTGTGTTCTGTTTAGGCGGCAATACAAGTCATCCTTTGCATACGTTCTGCTGGATAGTGTGCGTCTTGATTCTGTGTACTGAGTCAGTCTGAATACCTAACAATGCAATGAATCGCACTGAAATTTGCTGCAAGGAAGCAGAGGAGTGGTGACCTTTGTTCCTTTTTAAACCGTACTCAACGAGTTAAATCAAAAATGGCTTCAAATTTCGTCTCCCTCCAAGATCCCCAAAAATAAGTGCATTATCTTATCGCAGGAGGTTAACTTTGTTTAACCCTAGTAACTGTGACCTTCAGGCCCGGTTCCTTAGGAGAAGAGAAGTCATGGGAGGCCAGAGTGGTAGAAAGAGTGCATTTTGTACAGAGGGAAAT